ATCCTCTACACATCCACCTATTGAAATATCAATTACACCAAATCATATCCCACTTTTTAGTCAACAAACTTTTATCTGACAAATTTTTCAGTAAAACCATTACTTGTACAGTAATCAAAATGGTTACAGTTACCTGACCCACCCTATGTATATTCATATATGAAAGGGTCACTGATGACAGACAGATGAATGCTTAAGGTATTTATATTCAGGTCGGGAAAGGGATGCGTTTGATTGTGAAAATTCTACGTTCGATTGTAAATGCACATTTTTAAATTACCTTACTGTTAATACATTCTTATACGTATTATTACGCTTCGTAATTTACCAGATACAAATTCTTTTTTCCAACCCGACCAAACATTCAATCGTTAGTAGTACATCTTCACAAATTGTTTTACACAAATGAAAAATGCTGATTACGAGTTCAAAATAACATTCAAAGACACGTAAGAGATTAATAACAGTTATAAATTTTTAATACAATGGAATTAATTGCGAGAGGAAAATACCGAATAGGTTTGTATCGCTTAAAAACATGAAAATACAGCTTATAGTATTCATTCCTGATAATGCTTGACGAAGAATGTACTTTTGTTATTTAATTATCGTGAACTTGCGGTTTACAATACTCGTGTAAAGATACAAAGTGTGTACACAAAGTATGTCATTGAATGAACATAAATTATAGAAGCAAGCATATCAGAAGCATAGGCAGGGGGGCAAGGTGATGTCTCTTTCAATACAACACAGAGGCAATTTAACTGCCTTGTAAACAATGTGTGCGAGAAAAGAATCGAGGAACGATAGACGCGGGCCATCCTACTACTGTGTAGGATTGATACACGAACAGAAACGTACGAACGCTTCGACAGAATAGGAGGAACACATCAGATATCTGAAACTTACTTGACTCCGAGCTTAGTAGCAACTCGCCGCCAAGGGCTGTAGCTTGTCACGGCTTTCTTGCAGTTAATTTCCCTTTAATCGTCGAACAATCGATTGGTTTGTCGTAGTTGCACGAGAGGGAATGCACGGGGGAAGGAAAAAGCACACACTGCATTAGGGCAACCTCATTTTGCCTTTTTATTTCCCCTCCTTCTTCATTTTTCTTATTTATACGTATCAAGAAAATTAATATACACACTTTTTTGTATGTAAGTATACTTTTCAGAGAAAGTGTTAGTGTTGTTTGTACATTGTTTTCTTTTTTAAAGCAACTTAATTTGAATTGTTATAACAACTATTCATTATTGTTATGTCAAATTTATACATATGTGTAGGTATATATGTATATACATATATATACACATATAAATTTTATATTATATATATATATATGTATATATATACATATACATATATATGTGTGTATATATACATATATACACACACGTTAGTTGAATATTTGAAGAAGTTTGGGCGTGATTTTTTGTATATCGATTAAACATGTATATGTTAAAGATTTTATTAGTAATGTTAGAGACGCGAGGATAAACACGTTCAAGCCTGCCATACTATTGGCTAAACTGCAAAATTAATTAGAAATAATAAGCCTCTGAGCCAGCCAAAGCTTCTGAGTAATAAGCGGATACAATACCCCTTTCTAACTAGTCATTTCCTATATCATATATATGTATATCATTATTTCCTATATCATATATACATATATATAAGAACATGACATACAAAAATTCAATAAGATCTTTTAGAGTAGAATGCTAAATGTGGACTTAATTTTAATTGAAAAATGTGTACAAGTATCGACAAATTCGATCATTCTTCAATCGTTAACTATTTCAAGTTGACAATGAATAAATGGAGACAAATACTCAAGTTCGGTTACTTCTATCGAAAAAATACTTTCATAAAAAATCTAATAAGCAAAGAAAAAAGAAAAGAAATCGAAATTTGCTCTTTTTATCGGGCGCAAATGTGCATTTACGCATATTTTAACTTATAAATTACTTGTATTGCAAGTAAGAGAAGTTTATTAGAAACTCCGAATTTAGGCATAGCCATGCCAATTGCGTGCGAATCTTGAACCACAGAAACGCAGATCCAATGCGGGAAAATAATATTCGTAATAAAAATTATTTACCTTCCGCTTCCATATGAAGATGGTAGGGGCAACGACGCAGTAGAACCTCTCTTAACATTACAACTACTCGACATTGTAGACATGTTTGATGAAGGTTTAGTGATAGCTTTACTAGAATGATGTTTTGATTTAATACATTCTAGTACTAGTTGATCTTTACATCCTTGACTTTGATGTACAGATACTCCACAATCTAAAAATAGATTTTGATTCTTGCAATAGATTCGTGAATGCGTACAAGTAGTACAGCAATGCCCGTTTAAGCAAATTCTTTCCCTAAGAATTGACTGAAGCACAACTCGATGAAATGAAAGAATAGAAATAACGAGCGTAAGCGAGATATAGCAGTACATCGAGTAGCAACAGTCGGGACCCGACACTTCAAAGCTATACTGCAACTGAAAAAAAATAAACATACAAGAGAGAAAATTTCATTTTCACCCTACATCCATAACTGCAACACCACTAAATTGTTACGATTTTCCTAATTAAAATGAGTCCAAACACTACGCAAATCGGACTAGCTTTATCGATTTGAAACATTCATATATTTAATTTTTTTTATTTGTATTAAACCGGTAAAATTAGTCTGATTTGCGTCTTGTTTGGGCTTCTTTTAATCGGAACAGTCTCAACTACTCATTGGTGCTACAATTATAAAAATAGAATTAAAGTTACAGAAAATGAAATTTTCTTCATTGGATGTGTGCTGTTTCCTTTCTTTTCGTTGTATTCATTCTCTATCCTTGCCTACTGAGATTACAGTTCATCAAGCTCGAGGGACTGACTGGTAGGAGAAGAGTGAAGATGAGTCTTGGAAAAACCGTATGGATTTTAGTGAAATTTAAGCGGGCATCACTGTATGAAGTATTACTTACTATCACAATGTAGAAGCGGCTTATTTGTTGATTGCTTCATACAAACATCACATATTAAACTTCCCTGAGATCCAGCCATTATTGTCGTCCATAAATGCTGCTGTAGACTAGTTTTTTTACCACTCTTATCCTGTAACACCATTATAATTTTGTCCATTATCATTAGTACTTTTATAATATGCACAATTTTATTCCATTACCTTCTTCTTACGGAAAAATATAGAACCACGTTTTCGTCCACTTTTTCCTGAATTTTGATCATCATATGCTGTTCCACTAAAAATCATAATTGTTACATAATTAAAAATGTTATCAAAGTATATAATTTAGAAATTATTGCAGCGACAAAAGTCTAGAAGCATTACTATAGCAAATTCAAACAAAGTGGTTGAAATATATCTAAATTGTAACTACATACATCACTAAGCATATTGCGAGGAAATATATTACACATAGAGAAATTTTGGTACAATACCATAGTCTTATTATTATTGCTACTATATTTATACAATAAAAGAGAGTGCATAATAGTTAAGCCGATACAAACCAGCCATTTTCCCTTGTATCTTGTTAGTAGAATATATATTGTTCATAAGTGGAAAACTGAAAATATAGAATACTTACTCGGTTAGTAATTCATCGAGTGATATCTGAGCATTTGGAGTGCCTTCTCTATCTTCATGGAACTCATGGCTATGCGGTGTGTGAAGATCCTCTGTTTCCGTCTCACTTCCGCTACCCTTTTCGTTTCTTTCGTGACGGCTGTACCATGCAGGATGGTAGGAAATTGTCAAGTACAAACACAAAGTATGCGACTATTGTGTAAAAGATATTGCAAATCAGATATTCTCGTGTGGTGTGCCACCGAGATACTAAAGCGCCATAAAAAGGTTTAAAGATGTAAATACCATTCAGATACAGAAAATGCTATTTACATAAGTGAAAAAGTTTAAATTTTGACAATGATCGAAATAAAAATTATATCATCAAATAAATTTAATGAAAAATTTAATTTCTAATCGTTTTAAAACTCAGATAGCATAACACTGAATTAGCATTTTGATATTTATGTATTTTACTTTTAAAGAGTTCAAGATTAATTACTCTTAATTTACAGTGAAAAACAGTGCGACCATGCATCAATACCTTTATCTACATAGTATAAATTATTGCAAGCATTCCTAGTAGTAGACAAATTTCAAAACTTGTTTCCAGTAATTCATGCATTAATTTTTTCTTTTATTTTGATTTAAGTATTAGTGTTTAAATACAATATATACATAAAATGTGTGTACTTTTTAGTGTGCTACTTATATATAGTGTTTTATAAAGACCGCAGGCTAGATCTTATTAATAATATAATTATTTTAAACATCATGAATCACGTTAAAACTTTAATAAAAACAATAAATTTATTGTAAAATTAAAAATGAAATTAATATTAGTGAAGCTAAAACTCAACAATTCGTATAATTCATATTTGAAATTTTGCACTGGAAGGTAAGTTATTTATTATTTACTTAAACAATAAGTTATGAAGTAATAGATTTAGTTGTAAAATTTTGTATACCAAGTTAATGTTTATACAATGGAAAGAAAACAAAGAAAACTGAGTTTACATTGGTCACTGATCTAGCGTTACGATCTGGAAAGAGTGTTATTTAACTTACGCTGTAAGCGATGGTGTTGTCCTAGTTACAGATTCTGCTAAGTGAGCATTAACTTGTGGTGTAACAATTGAAGGCGTTGAGATAGATTTCTGAAGAGGTAAACGAGAACCTGTCACACCAGGCATTAAACCACTACTTTCTGCTAACCTTTGACTACCTTTGAATCGTTTTGTAACTATCTTCTGATATTCACTCTGTTAAAATAAAACTTTGTGTGGTTTTTTATATAAAAAAAAAAGTTTAAACAATTTATTAATATAAGCATCCTTTAAATTACCTGCACAAGGTCAGCTTCGTTAAGAGAATGAGTGCTTGCTTGTGATCTGCATGCGCGATTACCAACACCTACAGGTCTGGCACAAGACTTTCCTTGTAATTCTATTTCCATTTCACTGTCTAGGCTACTTAAACTAATACTGCGCTGTCGCTGAAATTGTAATGGATACACTGTTCAATATTTTTATGAAAAATACTAAAAATATTATAATAAAGCAAAATGAAAAAAGCAATAAAGCGATCATATCCATGCTACAAATATACAACAAATGCACTTTCATAAAAAAACAAAAAAAATGTATTAGACAATATTAACCATGTTTTGCGCTTGTAGATGATTTTGTCCAGAGCATCTGCGACGCCCGCATCTAGTATCTTCCAAATCTGTCCAACTGCGTCTTCTGTCTATACCTTGCGCATTCTGTGAACGAGGACCTACTGATGGGAAATGTGTGGGTGAACTATTAGTGGAGCAATTAGCAAGGAGATCCGGATCAGATCCTATTTCATTATTACTCGAACGTGGTATAATTTCAGGTGAAATTAAAGGACACAGAGAAGGACACGATGAAGTTAAACGTTGTTGTACATCACTGTGGGAAGCACGATGATTATATCCCCAGTTGTTCGATGTCAAATCTCTCATACGCTGAATATAATCATGGATTTCATGCAAATGTTGCAAGTTGTCTTCTGCAATGAGGTGAACCAATTGTTAGCCACAAAAGCACATAAAATATTTTAACACATTTGCGACCAGTAAATTCTTTGCTTTTTTAATACTCATTGTTGGTGAAAATAAAGAAAATCATAAGCTATTTGTCACAAATTTTTTATGTTAAAGCAAAGACAATAATTATAAAATTTGTTTTGAAATATTAATTTTGTAACGATCTGTTTTTGAAATGAAGAATTTTCCATTAAAGAAAAGTACTTGCAAAAAGGCAAATTCACATCAGTGGTCACGAATGTGGTAACATCAACTGACATGTTATATATAATGTAACATTTTGAACAGCATTACACAGACAAAAATCAAATAAATTTACCCAGAACAGGGTAGTTCTTAGCAAGACCAGGTGAGTGTGGTGTGACACTAATGATTGGCACCAAAGGATTAGGCTGTGATTGTATATTAGAGCCAATTGCAAGCAACGGATGCTGCTGTTGTTCATCGGTTCCTTCAGACATGGTAATAGCCGTTTTCTCAATATTGTCTTTGGTGTAGCTGGTTTCAGCAATTATATTTTCACGTGAACTCAAACAACCGAGATCTCCATTAATAATAGGTATGCGATCGCAATCAGAATGCGATGAACCCAAATAATCAGTTATTACATCTTCTTCGCTGTCTTCTCCACTATTTGGACACTCATCTATGAACAAAATAAAAGTAACCCCTGTCATTACTTATATCTACGTAAAAAAATGCGTTAATCAATCTTTGTTTTAACACATGTAACAATTAATATAAACGGTAGATAATAAAAATAGAAAATTATATGTTAAAACATGAATTATTTAATTGATGGGTAATGATTGTAACACTTTTTACCGTCCTATAAAATTACGAAACTCGTGTGCAACAAGAAATGTCGCATTTCGTGAACTACATCAAGATACGAGAAAACCGATATCCAAATGTCCTCGCGCCTATTGACTGCAGAGAGAACAAATAGAACTTGCTCTTGACAATCGAAACAGCCTCTCGCTCTCATGCCATGGTAATGTATAAAGACATATTCAATGAAAATCAGGTCAAATTGTTGCATGACACGTATCTACACATTTAATTTCACAGTTGTGTGTATTCAAACATAAAAACGAACGTTTTTGATTCTTCCGTCGGCAAGGAACAAATGAAAAATAATATTTAATATTAACGTTAATTTTTATCTTGCCGCGGTAATATCGGTCAGGGATAATCCAAGGTCACTTGTCTGATTTCGCAAATTTGACTATAAGAACGTTTCATGTGAATCGATCTAACATTAGCTGACAACAGGTAAAAATAAGATAGACTTTTTAATCTTATCATTCTGATTGATCAAGCAAACTTCCTCTTATATTTAACTGAACAGTTACACGGTCAATTCACTAAGAGAAAGCTGTATACGCGCGAACAAACCCATCGTGTAAAAACACCACCAATTTAATGATCACTTTTGCGAAAGATGTTCCCGTGACGAACATATTCTATTTCACCTACACGATAACTTGACGGGTCGTTTATTGTCATTTTTCTATATCAAGAATAAATAAGTGTGTTCGAATCGTGCAATTCGTACTTTTTCAGGAAGCAGGGGTAGACACACTGTTGCTTTCCCCCGTAACTCCCAAGCGCGAATTGATCCGTTGGTCCGCGCATTTTACCCCACCTCCATGCACCCCCGATCGTGAACCGACCTCCAACCTTCAGTCTAATACCTTTACTACCACCCTTTTCGGTAAATTCATCTCTTGCCATCGTTTTCGTAACTTTTCTCATCCAATTCAACGTTTTTCTGGTAAATTATTTATTTTTCATTAAATAGTGTCCAACTACCCAAACAAATAACATCGAATCTATTATTTTATTATTAATTTCATTAAAATTATTGTAAAACTCTCTTCTAATATTTATATAAAACTTTATACTCGTTCACATAATGACTTTTTTTGGAATAAAAATTTGTGTTAAATATAAATTAAAAAGCATATACATCATCTGATATCTAAGAATTAGTTTTATGTATGTTTGTTTCATATAACAAGATGTTGTTCTCGTATACTATTAGTTTAGATTAGTATTATTCTAGCATAATTTTTTACTATACTTTGATAGAACCGCGAAATAATAATTTCTAAGTAATAAATTTATATTGCTTTAAATGTTCGAACGTATTAATAAATTATACAATTTTAGAAAAACTCTTTACCAGGTTTACACTCATAACAGTATTACACGTGTTCAAGCGAAAATCGAAAATATAATAAAAGTTTATAATTTCTATAATACATATAACAAAAGCAACAAGTGGTAATAGAGTTTTTATAATTTAAAAAATATTTCAAATTGGGATGTTTTCAAGGATTTGCTAATTAGAAAAGGATACAGATTTAATTCACACTAAATACAGTTGAATTATATTTAAACGTAGACTAATTTTAATTGTATAATATCAGCACAGTACAATGCTATGTTATATACAATTATTAAAAGAAAGGCTATTTACAAGTAATATAATCTTTATTCTATTTAGGTTTACAGAACAGTTTAAGGAATTAAAAGTTACAGTATGTTAACAACAATAATGTAAGTGTTGAAGTAATAATGACAACAGAAACTCAAATTACAAGGTATAAGTGTTATAATTCTAACTTTGCTTTCTACATTTATCATAAAACATTTAACAAGTTAATATATACATATGGAATATACAATATAAAATTTTACATTCGATTAATTTATTAATTTTTTTCCTGGTATTCTACATAATATTTGTTCAACATAAAGTTACATACTTATGGTACAAAATGTAATAGCAACAAGTATGTACAATATGTTTTCGTTGTACATGATTAAATTGGTTTCAACATACATAAACATGTTTATTTCCATAATGTAATAATGTTAAAATGAATTTCAAATCTAAGAATGCATAGAGTAAAATAACACTTGGTACCGAAATGGGATATGAATACTAAAATTTAAATAATACAATAATTTCAAAATATATTACGCGTTCTTTTTCTAAGTAATGTGTTATAAATAATGTCCATTTTTCATATAATGTCAATAGATAAAGAATAACTACTGAAAATATTTTTTTTTATTATTAATAACTTACCAGATGAAAACGGAGCCAGTATTTCCTGCCTTTTCTCCATCTTTTTTATTTTCAATGGTTGGATATATTTAAGTCTTTCAAAAGTAGAATCTGAAACATTTGTAAGTATTGTGAACGATAAATAAAAATGATTGTTTCACAAACATTTTACGGAGTCTTAAAAGTTTAACTGAATAAACTAAATACAGAAATGTCGATGAAAAATTTTATAAATAAAGAACATGTATTCCAAGTAAAATATTTGAAATTCATTATTATATAGAAAAACATCGGTTATTTATGCAGTATTTTACACTTTGAATAGGACGACGTATACACTTTGTTGCCAAAGGAAGCCGTATTGACAGATGAACGCTGGACTTAATTATTTCATATATTAAGAGGTATTGCTCGATGTCAAACAGGATACGTACCTAAAGCAAAATAATTTTTATGAATCCATTAACATTACTCGCGGTTTATTATATGTAGCTCCTTCATGGAGAAACAAAATGTTGCATCTACCAATTTATATCATGCATTCAAGGCACGTCGACCATTTTGTACTAGTCCTGTGCTGTTCAACATAAGCTCCAGAGCTTATGAAGCTTCTCCCACTCTGTCTGTGTTCTATGATATTCCGTATAGGAACACTATCTGATGCGTTGTACACCGCTGAACATGATGCTTGTCTTACCCTATTTTTCTTTCCCGTCAAACTACGAAAAGCGGTATTCCAATCTGTAATATAAGATTCTGTGGCACGAACCGCAGCGCCACGTTTATGTAGTTATTTTATCAGTAATCGATTCATTTGAATTTCTAAAAACATTTTTTTGTTATATAATTAATTTTCAGCTTTTGGCGAACGTTTATTTTAAGATACCAATCCTTTACGATTGAAAGAAAAACATAAGCATTGTGCAATTCATAATTTCGGAGATACAAATTAATTTGCAACACCTTATTTTCGTAACAATCTACATAGCGAGCTTTTATAGTCTCTTACGCAAATCTGCCGAGTGGCGGCGCACAGGTGACGTGAGCTTTAAGTTTTACCACCGTGTAACATGTTCTTTGAGATTTATTTAAACATTTTTGACAATTTCAAAATGTGTTAGTAAGAATGTATACTTTACAATTATATCATATTTTGTATGATTTTATTAGATACATATTATTCGATAAGTATACATAAAGTATCATTGACAATTTTTTTCCAACATAATTTGTATGTTTAACGTGAATCGTAACTTAAATACTGAATTAAAGTCATTTTGAGATTTTAGTTTTATCCCCTGTACAACTAAACAAAATTAGTTTCACTTTTACATTATGAATTTGCTTCCAAACCGTCACCTAACGCTGCTTGAATCGAAAAATAAGGAGACATAGATTACAATTACTCAATCATTTATATTCACTGTGCAAAAGTAAGGTTTGTAGTACTTCACTTTATTAGAAGAATATATTTAAAATACAGCTACCCTTAAAATGATTATATTATACTAGTGAATTTTTTCGTTGGGAACAGTAAGGACGTAAAGAAATTTTAAGTTTAAACACTTGGCTACACTGAAAAAGTGTGGTCAAAGAACTTGACGGAACATTGAAATACATACTACATAGGTGTCAATACGACGAACTGTCAAAACTTAGAAAATGACAATGTCTTATAAAGAAGTTGCAAATAATTAAACAGAACAATCGTTACTAAATAATGCCATTAATAAAATTTAAATTTCATAAAAGAGAATAATTATATTTAAACCTTATTCATTATTGTTTACATAAATTATAAGTCTATATAGATAACCTGAAAGCACATTGCAATTCGAAACATTTATTGAATTTTTTTATGTTATTGTATATTACTCTTTAATGATATTATATGCAGAGTATTATGAAGGTATACAATGGAGGTTACAGAGACGAAAAACCTTGTTAGAGATTTGGATTTAACTTTACAACCTCGTATTATACCGCGATATAAAACTTGGCTTCCTCTTGCTACACAACAGGTAAGTTTCTATAATGTAAATAAAAATAAATAAGTATATTATTATATTATGTCATTTTATGTTTAAATATTCATAATATGATTTTGTAACAATAATACATAATGATATTGCAGTTTATTTTTAAAGAATAAGAACTAATCACATAACATAATTTCAAAATGAGTTTTATAGAATTAAAACAAATAATATCTACATAATATATTTCATTAAGTTTTATTTACATATTGATTAGTCTTCTGAAATATATAATTTTCAGTTGAGGCTCAGAAACCTTGTACAAATAATAGGATGTAATTTAAAAGCAAACATATATCACGAAGATTGTTGGTTCTATTATACTTTACATAGAACAAGTATGTCGTCCCCTTTATATACGAGTGAAGCAATTGATAATATAAATCCAAGATGGTCAAGTCTGGAAGTACCAAATATACATGCCACCGGTTACTCTACTGCCAGCGGTGAGCTTTATAATCTGTTAGTACCTTAAATGTAAACATGTGTTTATTAGTGTAAATAAGATCAAGATACTATTATTAATAAGATTATAAAATTGTTGTTTATTATTAGGTCATGTAATATGAAATGTCAGATTTTTCTTGCTTATAAATCTTTGTACTCCTTTTGTTATTCCTTTATTTTTTATATAACCTCTTAAAGAGTTTCATTGTTGATTATCAGAGTAACTTTTTGTAAAAAGATTCTTCCGAATTATGCATAATAACTATTTTTTGCATTGTTTTTTAAAACCATGAATACCACTAACATTCATGTAATTTTCTTACATGAATTTAAACTTGAAAATAATGTTGCAAAAACCGCTGAGAATATAAACAAAGCATTTAAGTACAATGCTGTGAATGAAAAAACAATATTGTGTGGTAAACCCAAAACAGTAGTTTATAATGATGTCTTTAGAATTGATTAATTCTAAACACTCCGAATTTTTCAAAAAAGGAATATATTCATTAACATCATATTGGCAGAAGTGTATCAAATTAAATAGGGCAGTTTATTTTGTCCTTTTTTCCTGCAAAATTCAACATTTCATATTACACGATCTAATACATTATATTATGAAGTGTTTAAAAAGAATATTATATATTTTTTAACAGAGATAATTATAAGACTATGGAAACGAACAGTTGTGGTCGATGTACCGACCGATGTAACTGTATTTACATGGGGTGTGTCTTTTACTGGTTTGGCATATATTGGTCCAAAATTACCAAATAATTTAGAAACTATTTTGAAGGCGAATTCTTTAATTTTTCAATTTCATGGAGGTTTTTTTACACCGACATATTGTTTCGTCGAGGCACCCGAATTAAAACGATATCTACATATAAAAGTTAATAATTCTGAAATAAGAGACAGTTATACAGTGAGTAAACTTAGTAGTTTAAAAAATAAAATGCAGGCACTAAAACAACAGACAGAATCAGTGAAAATACTAAGAATGCGTATCGCTTCTGGAGATAATTTTAATACTCCAAAGTACCCGCAGTCCTCGTTAAACAGATTATTTCAACCTCGTAAAGTAAATAAAGAGAAGAAAGCTGAAATAATAAAAATACGAAAGGAATTAGAAATGGCCAAATTTAGGACAAAATTATTAGAACAAGAGAGAACAAGGAAAATAGGAGAACTAAGGGTGTTAAACCAATTGCATTCTGATATTATGGAAGAAAATCAAGACTATGGTAAAACACGATTTATTTTAAATTACATGCATCACAATTTAAGCAAGTTTAAAATATAGAATACTTTTGTGTGTATTATAGGTCTAGATTTGATGGAAAAATATAGAGAATTAAATAGGGATATAGAAAGATTACATGAATGGCGACAAAATCAAATAGATACTAGAGAAACATATGTTCAGTTAAGCAGTCAACTAGCTTACAGAAGAAGACAATTAATTTCAGAACTAAGTTTAATATATCCTATTACCCAGGTATAAATAAGCTAAAATTAATAACATATAATGTGAAGAAGCTTTTAAAAATTTAACAATTTACATTTATATTTAAATAGATACACTACTATAATAATAATTATTACAACGCAATTTTAAATAATTAATTTTTTTCGTGCAGGATGGAAACGGAAAATTTAAAATACATAATATACATCTACCTGATAGCGAAGATTTAGAATTGTCAAATGATACTGAAGTAGCCGTAGCATTGGGATTTGTTGCACATACCACTCAAATGATTGCTAATTTTCTTAATATACCCACTAGATATCCTATTATCCATTATGGATCACGTAGTAAAGTTATAGATCATATCACAGAAAACCTACCTGACAATGAAAGACAGTAAGTATTATAATTTCATATTTTTTACTTTTGTATTTTTATTTACTTAACGTAACTAATAAATTGAATCATATCTCTAGATTTCCACTATTTGCACGTAGTAAGGATAAGTTACAGTTCCGTTATGCTGTTTATTTATTAAATAAAAATATAGCTCAGTTAAGGTGGTACTGTGGCCTTCCGACAACAGACTTAAGAGCAACTCTTCCAAACTTAGTTACCTTAATAAACATTAGGCCAAATCAATCACAGTATGTTACAGTATTGTTGTTGCAATTCAAAACAAAGATTTCTTAAAATATTTCATGATCATAATATTTTTTGTTATAGTTTGGATAATTCGAAACGAACATATTCTACTTCATCTCTGGATATTGATATTAGTAACGGAAAGCAAAACGTACCACTAACACCACCAATACAAAAAATAATTTTTGAAAAATGCCATCGATCTTCAAGGTCTATGAGTCAATTGAAGAGTATAAAATCTTCTCTTGGCTCGTCTTTAGATCAAGGTTTAGATAAGCCTGTACAGTCCCTTGTTTTAGGCAGCCAATCAAAACGAATTTGTAAGTCAGAAGAAAGTGCCATAGACAATAAAACATTGGTACTAGCGAAATATAAGTCAAGTAACAGTAGTAATGAAACTTTAAATAATGCTATTTTAAATAACATAAGTGGTACAAATGTTGAAGACAGCACTCGAGAAAATAATGAAATTGCAATAGAAAGTAATATAGAAATTATGATACCTACATCAGTTTGTAAGTCAACTAATGCTGCGGATAGTTTAGAAGGTTCTGTGAGCGTAAGAGATAGAAGCTCGAATTCTATAAGTAGTTGTGAAATGGCACTTAATAGTAGTCAAAATGGAGATGATAGTTCAAATGATAATGTAATTAAGAAAGATGAAACTGAAGAATTTATTTCAGTTACTAATGAAATATTGAAAAATGTTAATGATGTTGTAGATAATGTTCTAAAAAATAGAAGGCACAGCACAGATTATAATTCTGAGAAGGCTTCGCAAGATCGTGATAATCTTAGAATGACAACTAGCGAAACAAGTTGCAATATTCACGAAAGTATTGCGATTGCTTCTCAAAGCTCAACACATAATAAAGAACATTTTGCTAAGTCATGTTTATCTTTAGACAATATAATGTCATGCACTTATAATGAAAGTGAACTGAAACAAAGAACAAGTTCCATTTGTAGTTATCCAGAAGAATATTTTACATCCAAAGATACTATATTACAGAAGCAATACAACTTAGAGTCGAAGTAAGTATATGTAAAGAACGATAAAAATGCTATGGCACAATACATATTTATAGTAGAATATAAAAAAGTTAAAAGTATAAAGCAGTTGATCTTTTTGCATTTTGCAGAAAGGGAGAAATAGATCCGTTACATTCTAAACATTGGTGTCATAATGATGCAAATAGGGAATCAATGGTAAGCATATTTAGGCATAAATTTCTCGAAGTTTATTTAATTGTTATTCTGTTTGGTGTTAATGTAATATTATGTTTCATAATTTTAGTTGGAAACAGAATTAATACAAACAGCACAGAAATGTGACTTTCAAGCGTCAAGTGAATACATAGATATCATTAAACGTAGTTCCGAAAATGTATATGCACGCACTGAAGCTTTAACCAACAAAAAAACCAGTTTTAAAGTTATGAAACCTCGGCTGTAATATTTATATTCTAGAATATACTACGACGCTGTTGTTGCTTTAGTAATTGATGTCTAACTGCACCAGATCCCAAGAAAGTTCAATACACAAATTCCATAAAGTATTAGAATATTTATTGCGCCATTAAAGGAAAATCTAAAACAAAATTTATATACTTTTCCTTACTTATTAAAATGAAAATTATTAATACGTGTATCTAATATGCAAACTGTAAATTTTATAGAAATGAAAAAGCGTAGAACAAAAAGAATAGAAAACGGAGTAAATATATTTGTTAATTATGTTATATATATATATGTATATATCTATTATAAGATTGTGTTCTATTTTCTTAATTTTCAAATTCTATGAAAATTGAACTGAATAATTTAATGCGTTATATTACATAATTCAAATTATATTGCGTATCTACAATTCAGATACGTATATACGTACATAAATGTAAATTCGCATACACACGAGTGTGCGCGGGTGTGTACGTAAAATGTGGTGGATCGTGCAATAATCACTAATAGTATTTTTAGTAATCAAACCATTCACAGGTCTATTAATGGAACTAGCTACTATAATTACATGTACAATTACTGCAATGTTAAGATCACAATGTGCTTATATTTTTTTAAGTGTGATGCTTATATACATAAAGTTGGTACTATTAATATCTCTGTGTACAGGCAATATGATCAAGTTGATTTAATACATATGTAATGCTTCTTCATTTAAATACTATTTTGTTAATTCAATGTAAAATTTTAAATATGAATTTTTGGATATATTTATTATATTTTTATTAAAAAAAAATTAACATCAATGCAAACTGTACATGGAAGGACCAACAAAAACATTAAATCAGTTAGTAGCTACCTAAATAATTCTATATGAAATTGTAATAAATTAAAATAAAAGAACGACATTAATGATTACTGATTCGAAAAAAGATAAATATTTCATCTACAATTTTCACAACAATATATGTGTATAATAAAATTATTGGATTAAAGTATATGCTGACACAAAATTATCAAGTATTTTCGGTGATATGACTGTTATTATTTAATATGTGTTGTTAAATAAAAATATTGATACAGTACAATTTTTACAACACCTATCACAAGAAAAAAATTTGGATTAAATATTCATTTTTTAAAATATCTGTATTTTATATAATCTAGTTTATTATATGAAAAAGGAATAATATAAACAAAATGATGTAAAAAATAATGACAAAAATATTTCTTAAGCAGTTTATAGAATAAAAATATTACTAATTCTGCATTTTAAAATTATCTGAATTGTCGCTTTAAAACAAGAGTAGAAAATCATGTAATAGTAATTTTTTATATGATCGAATCAATAAAATTACTGATTTCTGTGAATTAATAAATGAAAAGAAAAGTAACAATAACTTAGTACATTGATAATAAAATAACATGTATAATATTTAATATATTTCCTATTTTAGGAGGACATTTCAAGAAAATTCTATAATGTCGTTACGATCATTAAAATCTTTTTATTTCCGTTGCGTTTTTATGGATATTTAAACGATTTCATTATTCCAGCTAGTGCTTTAAAAAACCATACAATGTGATATTTTATTTATAAGAATGCAAACAAATATATGTCGCTATATCTTATGAAATCTATGGCAATAATCTCTTAAACTTACTATGTACATTAATAAAATATAATATTTATACATAAAATAAACATTAAATGGTCACTTTATATGTTAAAAATAAAATAATATATATGTAAAAATATTCATTTTGAAGTTTCAATGATACGAATAGAGAAGTTACGTAGAAACACAGACGAGGTATAGGATAAACCAGTCACATATGTATTTCCAAGTATTTAAACTTGGCAGCTTAAAAATAAGTATCTTATCGTATATTCAATCAATCGTTGCTGTATCATTTTAGTATTGCGTCCATGTTACTGTCGACTACGTCTTTTAGGCCTTATTAATTAGGGAACTAAGAACTTATATGCTATTACATACACGTACTTAATATCATTTATATTTATTATTCAAGTTTATAAAACTGTATTATAATATTTTGTTCGTTTCACTTCTTTCACATTCACAAACATGTCTGTATATTTGTACATATTCTCGAGTTCATTCGCTTGCATAACAAAAAGATTTTATGTACTAATTTACATTATTATTTAGAATAGTACAATATTTAACAAATATAGAATTTGAAAATAATTTATTTATCAAGTAGAAATCTAAAATTTTATTTTCTAAGTTACTGTTTTCATTAAATTCATTCGTAATTTTTTTTAAATAATTACCGTTCCATTAATTATTGTTGTTAAGCAAACAAACTGAAAAAATTTTGTATTTCACAAAAAGTCTTTAAATTTTAATAATAGTTAAAAAAGATATTTGTTATATAAATAATTTAAACTAATAATAAAGACAAAGAAATCTTGTAATGGTAAATAGTCCACCCTACTCCTCGTCTGAAATTCTAATATATCTGCAATTTTACTACATAACACTATCAATGTTTCTATAAATTGATGAATACAGTTAACTGATTAATATCATGTTTTAATTGAGAACATTGTAACCATACCTAAATCTTCATTTATGTATACTAATATTCGAGTTACCAACTTTCAAATTCAGAAACACATTTTAAAATATGAAAATTACAAGACTTCTTTTAAGTTTTAAAGCCTCACGATCACATATATGCTGCTAAATAATTATTAAAGAGCAGGTATAAACTATTATTAAATAATAAGTCTTTGTATCCAACTAGGATATAATTTCTAAAGTTATTGTTCATATACGTAGAAATCGTTAAAATCACGGGTTTGTTAGGATATTGTGTATAATGTTTTGCCTTTTATCCTGCAACACCTCTGTGTTGAGCACTCGAATCAACGGTTACAAAACATCGCATATCTGATTTATCCTGCGACTCGTTAATGATACCTGCTAGTTTTGCACTAACATTCCACAAACGTAGTGATATATCAGGATCTAGATTCTTTTGTGCAGAATAAGATTTACAATCACGGTAAATATTACCACTTTCCTCAGACAAAGAAGGTTCTATGGCACAATGTAACACAGTTTGCGCGCCCTAAATAATAAATGTAATAAATGGTTATTATACAATTATTATTATAAAAGTGTATACTTCATAAATGGAGAAAGTATAGTATAGTTATAAATTAATTATTCAAGTACCAACACTAACCGACTCAGCAATACTTTAAAATATTACAAAATGTTTATATTGTTTTAATATTTACAATATGATTAATATATGTATAACTAATTTTACAACTTTACTATATCATGTCCATTCAGTATAAATACAGAAGAATACCTGATTTGCAGTACGTAAAAACAAGAAAGCAACGGGTAAAAATATAATGTAATGGAACCAACTTCTTTTCACATTTCTGAACAGTCCTGTATAAGTAAACCCAGGACATGCCATATAAACATTAACGCCACTGTCTTTAGTCCTTTTTGCAAGTTCAATACCAAAGTAGATATTTGCTAACTTTGAATTACAGTAAGCAGGGTTCATACGTCCCTTAATTGTCAAATCTTTTTCTCCGTTTAAGTTTGAAAAATCTATTTCTCCAAGTTCAAACAGCGTTGATGTAACGATTACAATCCTATTGTGAATAAATATCAATAAATAAAAAATAAACTTAATAATTTTCATAATAATTTTAATTTACAACAAACCTGCTTGGTGCATTTTGTTTCAAATATTCTAAGAGTAAATTTGTAAGCAAGAAATGACCTAAATGATTTACACCGAAATGAATGTCAAACCCATCTTGCGTTAAAGCATGTTTTTTAAAGGGTACATATACTCCAGCATTATTAATTAATACATGAATTTGTGGAAAGTTTTTCATCACTTCTGTAGCAAATTCTCTGATAGATTCAAACGAAGCCAAATTTAATTTCATGGGTATCTGCAAATGTAACGTTATAATTGGATCCAATAGTAGCAAAAAATTAAATAAGAAATTAAAAATTCATTTACCAATTCTCCAGTAGATATTTTAGAACGTATATCAGATATCGTATCTCTAGCACTTTGTAAACTTTTACAAGCTAGAATAACTGTAGCTTTTCTTTTTGCTAATTCTTTTACAGTTTCTTTACCAATTCCTGAATTAGCACCGGTTACAATAAATACACGACCATGCAGACTGTCTACATTCTTACATCTTCCCCATGTGCCTTCACGACATTTACGGAGTAATCCAGCAAATAACACTACTGGTAAAATAATGTAACTCCAAAAAGATACCATGTTTACTTGTCAATTATCTATTTCACGTGTATGCACACTTTAAATATTTAAATTAAAAACGATTTGCATATAAATGAATAAAATGAAAGCCTTTCTGATGCACAGTGGTGTTTTATTACTTTTTACAAACGAATTAATCGGAAACTTTAAATTTTTAAATCAACCTTATTTACGATACGATTTAATTTGATATTTATAATTCACAATTTATATCTCATTATAAAGACAAATGCGACAGAATACCATTGCGTAATAGCAATATTTAAATGCAATAAAACTTAAAATATAATATTTTCATTTTTTTTTTGTTGTGTCACGATTATATTAACGAAACTTTTATGCTGCTTATATGCACAATTCAGAGTATCTTCATACAAGATGTAATAATTCCGAGACTAAGTTTGGGAACCTCAGATACTACTTACAGGCAACGTTGCCGGTTCTTTGCATACGTACCTATATCTCCATCATTTTTATACCGTCTACAGCAGTGCCTAATTTACTCCCCTCACGCTAGTAACTCGAAAACAGCGTTCCCCCACTACCTTTATTCAAGGAGCTGCCCAAGCTATGCTGTGATCAGTTCTATGTATGTAGGTTCAATACAGGTAAAAGTAGGTATGGAGAGGGTAACTTTTCGTGAGGGCACTACAGTGACATTCCCTCGGATAGCTCCTTGAATAAAGATAGCGGGGGAACGCTATTTTCAAGTTACTAGCGTGAGGGGAGTAATTAGTTAGTTAAATAGACACTTCTTATCCTACAGATAAAAGAAAGAGAGATTGCATTCTAAATTCGAAGTACAGGAAAAATATGCATATGATTGCATAAATTTTATTTCATTTGAAAAATTACTTTTGTTACATCATATTGCGTACGCATCTGTATATTACTATACATTTTTTTTAAATTCTTATTTTAATATTTTTATATTTGTTAAAGATCATAATCATACATTATTTTTATCTCGCGGAGATTAAGATTGGCAATAATGAAATATTTTCGAATTAACCTAAGTGAAGTTATTATAGCGAAATATTATTTATTAATTTTAAGAGTTGGAACAAATTAAATTTAAATAAATTTATTAAATCACATTATATTCAATTAAGAATATGTTAAAGGAAATGTGATTAAATTTGTTATCCCTTTTTCTGAATGTCTCATTCGATGAGAAACGATATGTATTTAGCTTTGAGCGGAAAACATTTGTATTCTACGAACATCCATCGGCATTCAATATCATGTATCATTTTTCTCTGTAATCAAGAGTGGTGGAAGAATCCTGAAGACCGGAACTGAGATTAGTTTGAACCTCGCCAAGTAGGAGATCGTTAGAAATTTCGTTACAAAAAATCAAAAGGTATGGTATAAATAATTCGGTACACTTTGAATAACACAATAAATATTTTAATAAGAATTACAAACTGCTGAATGCATTTTTATATGTACGGTAAATGCGAAAGAATGAAAGTATGTTCTTCTTTACACTGCAAGCCTGTTGTACAATAAGATACAAAAGCTTTTATAAAGTCACATTGTTTCGGCAGAAGAAAAGTAAAACAAATTTTAATAGAATTTAAATTGTGTGTATAATGAAATATGACGATGATAAACATATTATACATGAACGCTATACTTTGTTACAAAATTTCGGCTGTTACTTAAAAATATTTTTACATAATTTATAATGTACACTAAATCAGTATTTTCTTGCTATGGATTCATTTCTTTGTAAACTTTAAGACAGAAAAAAAATTGAAGTTTGAATTTCATTCTATAAATAGCTACATATCTTTTATAAATAAAACAAATTTAATCTATACAGATAAGTCTACCGCGATTAGGTGCGTAGGTTATTTACCGCACAGGTGGCTAATCAAAGGAGCAACATTCTATTCCATTACACGTATATTAATTGAAATATATATAATAATAATAATATTTGATGAGAGAATGTATCTTCTCATGGTTTATTAAACTTTTTATCTGAGAATAATTTATATGATAGCAAATATTTATTTGTACTCATATGCACATTCTAAATGTTTTAGTTACTTTAAGAATTTGTATAACACTACGAGTATCAGTACTTTCAAGAGAAAATAATAAAGCCATATTATGGACAATTTAGATTTAGATAAAATAATTACGATTGTATTTATACATTTATGGATAATTGTATTCTTTACTTGTTATATGTACTCTTCTTATTTTGTATTCCTTCATGTAATTACTTTTGAAAGTTTGTATTCACAAAAGCCGCTTATAGCTGACGAACTTGTTAATGGACTCAGTGCAAACATGTTGTCATTGCATTATATTATTCATTGCTGATTTTGGAAGAGATAGTGTTTATTAATAATCATAAATTGCGCGTTTTTAAAATAATAATTGATAACTTAACAATAAACGTTCAAATTAATTGTTAATAAAATATATATACATATATACACATATACATTGATGTGAAATTATCTGTTCTTGTTTTCTATATTAATTTTCAATTTTAAATGTCAAATAAACTTTTTACTCGCCATCTATACACCCTCTTATTAGTTCATTGGAGATATATATGGATATTTTTAATAAGAACTAGAAAAACGTAAAAATATTCCCAGTTGAATTAAACAAATTCAATAGATTAACATTAACTGTAAATAATCTTAGAAAAGAAGATATTTAATTATTCGTGATTCAATCAAATATATAAACGTAAAAACTAAGTTGATCAATGGTTCGTAAAACGAATAATTCGTAGGCTTACGTTACACATACACGTATGTACTTCGATTCGTATAAAACGCACGTGAATCAAAACGTATTACGCCTGACAAAAAGTTTTCATTCGTTCTTTAATGACTTCGTGTTACGATGCATGAATAAACGTTATAAATAAATATACCAAAGGATTGTAGATATCGTAGAAAGAAATGATCAGCTTATAGCTCAATAAAAACTAATTAATAGAGTGAAAATGGTCTTCGAACTTTCTTCAAACGTACGAAAAAACTTTCCGGTTACCTCGGTACTATCTTGCCCGAATATGTCTGAACATGGTTACACCGGCGAATATTCGTCCGCGGCGTGTCATCTAGACTTGACACTGTCAAATCTAGGCGCGCTCTGTGGCATGTCCGGTTGTTAAAAACGACCCTTTTTAAGGGTCTCAAGTGGTGTTCCCAGCGCACATCGAACCAGTGTGGACGGCATTTCTGCTGCGCATGATCCGCGCCGACGTTCGTGCGCGCGGTACAACAGTGTTGACCCCTCCTAAGGCTGAGTCATCGGAGACCCGACGACTTTAGAACGATAACGCACACAGTGAGGGAACTGTTTATGTTAGAGGCGTCGAGTGACGATCGTCTTAACAACAGATCTCTGAGGAAGAAAGTAGTAGTAACCCACAACGCCTCGAACAAGAACGGTCCGTGTGATGCATCGTAAATATCGTCGCTTCATAAAAAAGCCTGTCCCTTAAGATCGTTTCCGTAAATCTCACGATGTCCGAGGTATCCGCAAGTGATCTGTCAGTTTTTTATCAGCTGCTACACGACGAAAACATATGTAATTACGAGGTTTCGTCAGACGGTGCGAGTACAACGTGCAGTGATGCTGAGCTAGAGATACAAGACTCGGAACCCGACGAGTTTGACGCGGTAGAATGTGAGGAAGACGTCGACGCGAAAAACTATACCGTATCCGGACGTACTTGGAAATACATTCCTCCCTATAACAATAACATAACAGAGTTTCAGAGCTCTTTGCAAAACTATACGCTTTTACTGACAAGTAAAAGCGAGAATGTCCAAACGATAGACGAATGTTTTCGGTTGTTTATTGATGAACGGATCATCGACAGTATAGTGTTGTACACAAATAAAAAGGCGAATGAAAGTATGCCGCCGAGTAAGAAGTGGAAACCTGTGGACAGCATAGAGATCGACGCATTTTTAGGGATTCTATTGCTAGCCGGCCGATTCAGGGAATCACGTGAAAGGAAACGTGACTTGTGGAGAAAGAATGAGGCATTCTCCAGGCCGTTTTACGCGGCCACTATGTCCCGCGATCGTTTCGTAGATATATTAAAATACATCCGTTTTGATGATTCCGCTACGCGGGAGGAGAGAAAAGCGAATGACAAATTGGCGCCGTTACGGGACGTTACCAGCATGTTCACTGCGAACTGCAGGGACTCGTACGCCGCGTCCAGTGTTGGTTCTATTAACGAGCAATTGGTGGGATTCAGGGGACGTTGTCCTTTTAAAGTGTACATGCCAAATAAATCCGGGAATTGTGGGATTAAAATCAGGACCCTCTGTGACGCGAGAACTTTTTATTGTTGTAATATGGATATATATTTAGGGAAAAGTGGCAATATTTCAGAAAACCAACAGGGTCACCATGTCGTGAAACAGTTGACAGACTTTTGGAGAAATTCAAATCGGACAATAACTACAGATAACTTTTTTACCGATATTAGTTTGGCGGAGGAGTTGTTAGAGAATAAAATTTTCCTTGTAGGTACAGTGCGTAAAACTCGACCGGATCTGCCTAAAATACTCACGCAAACGCGGGATCGGCAACAATTCTCTTCTCAGTTTTTGTTCACTCACAATCTGACTCTCGTCTCTTACGTGCCAAAACCCCGGAAGTGTGTTGTCCTGTTGTCCAGTTTGCACCATGAACTGAACATTTCGAAACCGGAACAAAATTACCAGCCGGACATAATTAATTTTTACAATTCGACGAAAGGCAGCGTGGACGTGTTCGACAAACTAGTTAAAGAGTACTCTTGCAGGCGGTCCACGCGCCGGTGGCCATTGTTGCTTTTCATGCATTATGTAGACATAGCCGCGTACAACGCGTTCGTTATATGGGTCACCAAATACCCCACGTGGGAATGCAACAACACACTGAAGACAAAAAGAAAGATCTTTTTGGAGGAATTAGCGAAGAAATTAGTTACCAACAATATAGAGAGACGGGCGATCCAATTCGAAAACCGTGAAATTACATTTCATAAATACATTGTGAACGCTATAGAAGCGACCGGCAGGAAAATCGTGAAAACGATACCGATATCTGAACCACGTAAACGTTCAAGGTGCTACATCTGCATCGGCAACGATAATAAATACAGTTCCGTATGTGACAACTGTCAAGTACATATTTGCAATCTACATTCTATACATAAACGTACTATTTTGTGTAGCCGATGTAGTGACTTGGAATAAATGTTATTTATTTATAATTCTGAATTACACCCACCCCTCCATTTACGCGGCACTCCTTTTACGCAAGTTTCTTATTTACACAGTAAATTACAACACTATTTACGCGATATCAATTTACACGATATGAATTTAGTAACATCGAATAAAATTTTCTTTTGTTTTTCGATATGTCTTTATTATTATTCTTTTTTGTTAGGCTGTATGAAATATACATGTGTTTGTAAAACTTATACTGTTACCTTCCAATATTTTGTTTTCTTTTGTACTGACAGATTGTATTTTCGCGTAAAATGAATCCTCGAGGAACGGATACTCCGTGTAAATGGAGGAACGAGTGTACTGTTATTATATCCCTTGTTTTTTTAGTAAAATTATTTGTTTATTAAAACAAATTTATGTATGTATCATTTTTACGTGGATCACAATTGACCTGGCTATCAGGGTTCGGTACTTTTTTATAATTCAGTACAAGTAAATGATTCTATTTACGAGATCACTCCCCCAGTTTAATGTCCTTCTCATCGTTAATACATCTAAATTCATTTTACATCATATGATTAGATAAATCCAAATTTGGGAAATCAATTCTGGGTTCGAAACTTATTGTCAATGCGGTATTATTACGTTCACCCCTAAAAGGATTACGTTCGAGACGTACAGTATTAATTAATGCACGGTCTAGAATCCAGAATCCATAATAATATATGAAATTATTATTTTTTATTTTTTTTATTCAGTACGTAAACAAAGTTCCTTAAAAGTGAACGAGATAGGGAGAAAGAGATAGCTGTCATGTGGTTCCGAACGTTGACGTATTCAGTATACGTTATAGTATATCAACTATTCAAGTATATCACTATCTTTATCAAAGATTTACCGACAGATTAGTTAAATTTTGCACATAAAAATGAATTTAATTAAAGTACAGTACAAACAAAATATAATATGTATGAATATTATATGAAAATATTATTAAAAAAACGTTACTATTGCAAAACGTATATGCTATATTTATTTCTCATTAACATTAATATTAATTTTTTCAGTACCTTCCGGGATATTTCCTTCTAAGCTTCTTGTAATATCATCTGTAAATATTTTTATTTTATATGATATATTTTAATAATGTCAAATTTTATTATTGTTTCAATTTTGTTTTTACTTTGTTTAATAATATTTTAATAATTAATAAAAATGTTTATACATTTTTGTAATGCATTTTTATCCTTCAACTATAAACATAACCCAATTTTACAAATAAAGTATCCGATGTCGTATAGACTTGTTCAACCGTTAGCGTCCATATGGAAAATCTCAGATTTATCACACGAACTTCAAAATTCAATAATTCGGTTAAAAAAAATTTTACATCAACATTAGTTAGCTCATTTTAAAGGGAAAATATAAATCTTCAAATCTACGATAGAATCAGTCGTGAAAAAAATTGTTTCATTCTTGTAAAGACGATTGAATTTGCAAAATTATCAACGAAAAAAACCTATACCTTTTTTTGCTCTACTATGTGATTCACAGCATTGAAGAAAACAGTTGGGAATGGTACAAAGAACACAGACTTTACACTTTAAAATGAGCCCAATTTCATTGTTCTACAATATTTTTTCATGAAGTTACAGTAGTTTAAATATTGGAAATTTTTAACAAAAATTCAAGTGTCTAATGACTTATGTACGGGGGTGTACATGCAATGTGTTCTGAGATTTAAAAAAGTTTTATTCAGAATT